CCGGACGGGCCCCGGTGAGTACCGGACGGGCCCCGGTGAGGGCCGGACGGGCCCCGGTGAGGGCCGGACGGGCCCCGGTGAGTGCCGGACGGGCCCCGGTGAGTGCCGGACGGGCCCCGGTGAGTGCCGGACGGGCCCCGGTGAGTGCCGGAGAGGCCCCGGTAGCGGCTCCTTTCCCCCGGGGCACCGGCCCCAGGCCCGGCCCCACGGTCCCGCCGCTCCTCCTCCCGCAGTGACCGAATTCTCCAAGAAGACCGGGGACTACCCGAGCCTCTCGGCCGCCGACCTGCAGGTGCTCGCCCTGACGTGCCAGCTCCAGACCGAGATCGACGGYCCCGGCTGCCTGCGCTGGGAGCCGCAGGACAAGGTAGGACGGGCCCGGGGACGGGGGTCCCGGTTTTGGGGCTCTCGCCCACGCCCCGTGCCGGTCCGCAGGTGCGGCTCAGCTCCACGCCGCGGCACCCCGAGGCTCCCCTGCACCTCGCCGGCTTCCACCTGCCCGCCAAGGTAAGGCYCGGGGAGGGCGAGGGGCGGCGGCCGTTCAGAGCCCCGCTGAGCTGCCCCGGCTGTGTCCCCAGCACAAACCCGCGGGGAAGGGACCATCCCAGCCCGGCCCCGGCAGCGGCTCGGCCCCGGGAGCCGACAGCGACCAGTTCGGATCGTTCCTGTACTGGCGGCCGCCCCTGCCCAGCATCGAGGGGGAGCTGCTGGTGAGAAGAGAATCCCCTGCACTCTTCTCTGCGATTCCTGGCTCCGCTCTGTGCCCCCCTGACCGTCTGCTCTCTCCCCGACACGCCCAGGCCATCTCCGGTAGCCCCGAGCCCCTGGAGGATCACCGCAGCTCGGCAGATGGGGCCAGCGCCGGCGAAGAGGAGGAGGAGGAGGATGAGGAGAGCGATGATGAAGGCTGGATAACTCCCAGCAACCTGAAGCAGGCKCAGCAGGACACGGGGCAGTGCGACACTGCTCCCACCGGCATCCAGGTGGGCTGTGTCACCACGGACTTTGCCATGCAGGTGAGTGCAGGGCTGCAGCGGGGGCTGAACCGCAGTCCTTGGGCACGGTCAGCAGGGTCTCAGTGGCTCTGCACAGCCCATTCCTGCTCCTGGGATCCCCCTCACGGGTCCTGCTGTGTCTCTGCCCTGCAGAACGTGCTGCTGCAGATGGGGCTGCACGTGCTGGCTGTGAACGGGATGCTGATCCGCCGTGCCCGGAGCTACATCCTGCGCTGCCACGGCTGCTTCAGGTGAGGGGCTGGGGCTGATCCTGCTCAGGCTGTGTTCCACAGCCCCAGGAAATGTGAACCCTCTGTGCCTCCCCGACAGGACCACCTCGGACATGACCAAGGTTTTCTGTCCCCACTGCGGTAACAAGACCCTGAAGAAGGTGGCAGTGAGTGTCAGTGACGACGGGAGCCTCCACATGCATTTCTCCCGCAACCCCAAGGTGCTGAACCCCCGGGGGCTCAGGGTGAGTACCTGAACAGAATCCCCGAGTCACTGAGGTCATGAAATCCAACCTGTGACCGATCCCTGCCTTGTCAGTGCATGCCATGTCCAGTCAATTCCTTGGNGAAGGCTGGATAACTCCCAGCAACCTGAAGCAGGCGCAGCAGGACACGGGGCAGTGCGACACTGCTCCCACCGGCATCCAGGTGGGCTGTGTCACCACGGACTTTGCCATGCAGGTGAGTGCAGGGCTGCAGCGGGGGCTGAACCGCAGTCCTTGGGCACGGTCAGCAGGGTCTCAGTGGCTCTGCACAGCCCATTCCTGCTCCTGGGATCCCCCTCACGGGTCCTGCTGTGTCTCTGCCCTGCAGAACGTGCTGCTGCAGATGGGGCTGCACGTGCTGGCTGTGAACGGGATGCTGATCCGCCGTGCCCGGAGCTACATCCTGCGCTGCCACGGCTGCTTCAGGTGAGGGGCTGGGGCTGATCCTGCTCAGGCTGTGTTCCACAGCCCCAGGAAATGTGAACCCTCTGTGCCTCCCCGACAGGACCACCTCGGACATGACCAAGGTTTTCTGTCCCCACTGCGGTAACAAGACCCTGAAGAAGGTGGCAGTGAGTGTCAGTGACGACGGGAGCCTCCACATGCATTTCTCCCGCAACCCCAAGGTGCTGAACCCCCGGGGGCTCAGGGTGAGTACCTGAACAGAATCCCCGAGTCACTGAGGTCATTAAATCCATCCTGTGACCGATCCCTGCCTTGTCAGTGCATGCCATGTCCAGTCAATTCCTTGGGCACCTCCAGGGATGGGGACTCCACCACCTGCCTGGGGCAGCTCCTTCCCATGTTTAACAACCCTTTCCATAAAGAAATTCCTGCCCTGGGACCCCAGGGATGGGAGCCCAACCTGTGGCTGGCACTTTGGAGGGAATCAAAGCAAACTGTGAACATCCTCTGGATGCTGCACTTGGACCTCAGGGCTTTTGAGATTCCCTGCTCAGTCAGAGGCCTGTGGTCACCCCGGGCTCCCTGAGGGTCTCCAGAGGCCTGTGGTCACCCTGTGGTCACCCTGAGGGTCTCCAGAGGTCTGTGGTCACCCTGTGGGTCTCCAGGGGCCTGTGGTCACCCCGCAGTCCCTGAGGGTCTCCAGAGGCCTGTGGTCACCCTGTGGTCACCCTGAGGGTCTCCAGAGGTCTGTGGTCACCCTGTGGTCACCCTGAGGGTCTCCAGAGCCCTGTGGTCACCCCGTGTCCCTGAGGGCTGTCCCCTCCTCTCCGCAGTACCCGCTGCCAGCACCGCAGGGTGGCAAACACGCCAACAACCCTCACCTKGTGGAGGATCAGCGCTTCCCTCAGCAGCGCCTGTCCCGCAAGGCCCGGCAGAAAACCAACGTGTTCGACCCCGATTACCTGGCCGGGGCCTCTCCGTTCGCCGAGAACGACGTGCACAGCCGGGCTGCTCATCTGCAGCTGAGGGACGCTGCCCTGGGCGCCGGCCGCCGCCGCCTCAACCCCAACGCCGTCAGCAAGAAATTTGTGAAGAGGAGGTGAGGGACAGGGAGGGGACAGTCCCACCTCCAGTGAGGGACAGGGAGGGGACAGTCCCACCTGCAGTGAGGGACAGGGAGGGGACAGTCCAGCCTGCAGTGAGGTGTGGTGTGGGCTCTGCCATGCTCCTCCTGGGCATGGCTGTGCCATTCTGTCCCCAGATTTGCTGTCCCTGGCTGGCTTTGGGCAGCGTGGCTTTCCTGACCCAGGACACCCTGGCAGGGGCTGTGTCACCCAATAAAACAACAAACCCCAAAGCACCGTGGCTCAGTCTCGTTTCTGCAGCTGCCTGTGCCAGGGTGAGCTGTTCTCTGAGCCTCGAGGGAAGGGGAGGTGGGCACAGAGGGAAGGAGGGAGGATTCCTGGGATGTTTTGCCTCATGGGATAATGAGCTCCAGGACAAAAGCACAGGGCAGGGGTTGTGTCCCACCCCAGAGCCGGCAGGGCTGAAGGTTTTTGCTGAAATCTTTCACAATTGACTCTTCTGCCTGGCTCTCRCTGCAGTTTCTCCCTAACTCTGCTGAAATGGTTCAAAATAAGGAAATTCCCAATACCAGCTGTGGCCCCTGGTCCTGGGGAGGTCATGGGTGCCAAGCAGAAATGGGGAACACACCTGGGCATTTTCGGTGTGTCAGCATCACCACCCCAAAGCTGCAGATGGAGGGAACAGAGCATCACACCCACAAACACTGCTGAGGAATTGGAACCTTCCAGCATCTTGGACTGCTGGCCTTTCCTCACTGGGGCAGATCTGCATCTCCCCCCGTCCCTCAGAGACAGGGATCCCAGCTTATGGAAGGCAATCCCTTGATCACAGTGTGGGGTTTAACCCCCCACCCCACAGTCCCTGTGATTGCCAAGAGCCAATCAAAACAATTCCCAAAAGCCTTTCCCTCCATGGCTCCTGCTGTGCTGGCACCAGGCAGCTTCCTCCCAGCAAAGGGAAAAGATGCCCTTGCAAAAACCACCACAAGACTTTACACTGCAAAATGAAAACTTTCATCGTTTTATTCTCGACTGCAGCTGTTTACAGAAATATAGTTGCGAGTATACAAATTTCCCAATAGAAGCAAAATATTTTTTATTTTTTTTTTTAATATTCAACAAGTTATCACGGAGAGCTAAAAACATAGATGCAAATAAAATATCCCCTCATAGACAAACTGAAAACACCGGGAATCAGTGCTTGGAAAACCCCACCTACGAAAGCCATATACACAGAACTGCACGAAGGAGTATCTGGTGCTACTTTCACATTGCAGGACACAGAAGAGGCAGCTCAGCGGTCAARGGTGCACCCAGAACATCTGGGGGGCAGGGGAGAAACCCCGAGGGGTGCAGAAATAAGAGACAGAGCTTGGAGCTCTGCTCTGAAGGGGTTGGAGCTTAACTCAGATGGAAATAGTTCAAATTGCCTCGTTTAATCAGTAAAAAAAGCTTCAGGAATACTGCAGGCTGCTGAGGACACTGGAATGTGATCCCAGTTCTGCAACACCCAAAGAGCCACTCTCAGACAGGAACTGCCCTGTGGACACCCCAAAAAACACCACGGCCCTGCCCAGGGCACTCGGGGCAGATCCCACGGGGCAGCTCCAGCCAAAACAAAGCCACAGGAGCACAGATTCCTAATGCCAGGAGCTGGAATGTGTCACACAGGGTGTGGGAGCCTTGGAACCTGAACAGAGGGGTCAGTGAGCAGGGAATCCTTGGATTCCACATCCTGTCCCCACACTGTGAATGTCACCGGGCAGTTCAGTGAAGCACAACAGCAAAAATGACAAATCTCTGGGAGAAGCAGAGCTCAGCCCTGCAAACTCCAAGAGAACAAATGAGGACATTGGCTCTCAGCGTGGTGGAARGAAAACCTGTACCAGGACAACACTGATCCACTCATGGCAAATTCCAGCGGAACACGGATTTGGAATGAAAAGTCAAAGTCGTGGTGGACACAATACAAAAATACTGATTTTATGACCTGGATTTTATCACCTGATTTAATGGCTGGAGCTGKGTCAGGGGAGGTTTGGGTTGGATCTCAGGGAAAGGTTCTGTCCACAGGGAATGGGCACAGCCCCGRGGCTGCCAGAGCTCCAGGAGGATTTGGGCAGCACTGCCAGGGGTGCMCAGGGGGGAATTKTTGGGGTRTCTGGGCAGGGACAGAGATTGGACTGGATGATCCCTGTGGGTCCCTTCCAGCTCAGGATATTCCAGGATTCTATGATTCTTAGGGTKTAACTCCTCACACAACCTGCAAGAAAGAAATCAGCACGAGTCACGGCAGGTTCCTCAGAGTTAGAAATCACGGGGAGCTTCAGTGGCTTTCAAGGAGCTCTCTAGATTTTGCTGCAGTAACGAGTCAATTAAAAAATACCAGTTTGCACACTCCTGCCCTTATGRGAATAAAGAGGAATGGCAGAGGAGCTTCTCCTCCCTGACCCTGCACAACCAGGGACCCTTTGCTATGAAATGACTGGTGTGAGCCACCACAATCCCTGTCTGCACAGACTGCAGGGACACCGGGGATGGAAAAGGCCCTGGAGTGGCTTAAGGGAGGCCAAAGGATGCTCAGGGCTGCAGGAAGCCCATCCTCAGCCTGGGTGTCAGTTCTATCCTAAACCACATCTGCAAGCATGAATTAAAAGACATAAAAATAGAAAAGTGGCCACAGCAGCTTCCAGCCCCCAGATCCCAGCAAGGTTTCTAAGCAGAGCAAGTTCTGTTACCAACAGGGCCAGGACAAGAGATGTGAGACAGCTGCTCATGAGTTACTACAAAACCCTCTTAGTGAGGAAAAGGAATAWTATTTTGTGTTTATAAAAATGTAAATATAACAGTATCCTATTCATGTGTCTACTACTATTAATATATAATATTCTGAATCCTCTATATACATATATATAATCCTAGAATATACAGCAGTGTGTATTTACATCCCTATACAGATTGGGCGAGGAAAAGCCTTTCCTCCTGTGCAACCCCCCAAGGCCCCACTCCCCCAGAGAATTTCAGAAGCTCCCTCTTGCAGGATTTAACCCCTGCTGCATTTCTCCTGGTTTCTAACASCCATTTATCCCATTTCCAAGGCTGATCCTCTCCCAGGGCACTGCGGGCACTGCAGTGGGCACAGCTGCTCTGAGCACCAACACAAGCACTCAGTCTGCCCTGACAGACTCCAGAAATCCAAATTAAACAAAGCCCTGAACAAACACAGCATCCYAGAGCTGTTTCCTTTTAGATTCTACTGCCCTGAGTCCCCTGGAACACAGAACCCACCAAGTCCTTGAAACTCAGTTTTACACTAATGGGAAATCACCAGTGAGCAGAATTTCCTCTTCTCACCTTCCACCCACAGCTCGGAGCATGCCAAGCAATTCCCTCTCCTCCCTCCTGCTTCTCTCACTCAGATCCATGTCTGTGCTCCCTGTGCTCTCCCAAAATGCCCCTGGAAAAGGAACCCAACAGTTTGCCAAGCAGAGGCACAAAAAAACAGGAATAAAAATCCATTCAGACATATTTTCATTTTAGATATCAGATTCTAAATCAGAATCTCAATAGAAACTTTAAAAACAAAAGTTCAGCTTATCCAAGTGAGSGGAATGTCCACTGACACAGCTGCCCAGACTTGGCACTTCCAGTAAAAACCTTTTAAARTTATGTTTAACTGCTCATACCTTGTTTTATCTTAAAACTCCATGGGAAGCAAGCACCCTGTCAAGATCAGAAGCAATAATCACTGTTCAGAGACTGGACAGCCACTTTGAACAGCCAGTCTGGAATTATTTCTTGAAACAAATTTGTGTTAAAGTAAGAGCAAAGCACTTGGCTTGCTGCAAGATCAGTGAGGAGGCAATTAATAACCAAACAACTGTTAATTAAGCACAAAGCACCAGTAACTCTGCACCAGTGGAGGTGTTCAGCTCAAATTGTGCATCAAGTGTTGGCTCTGCCATTTCTGGGGGGCTCTGGTAAAAGCTGAGGGGACATGGTGGGGGTTGGCAGGTCCTTCTCCCTCAATTGTCACCTGTGCCCACAAATGGGTGTTCTGGGAGCCCAGGGATGGATTTRATTTACACAGACTGACAGCTCCTCTGTGCCACCAAAGGCCCAGGCACGATGGCAGCTCCGTGTGCTCCTGGAACACGGGCATCTCTGAGAAGCTCTGCTGCCCAAACTGCCCGAGTGTCACAAGTCAGTGCTGGTAAAACCCAGATGTGGCTCAGGCTGTGCCCCTGCCATGACATCCTGCAGCCTGTCCTTGAGCTCTTTTGGGGCTGATCCAACCCCTGTGCCCTCGGAGCCGCTGCCCCAGCACACAACAACCGCTGAGCGACCTCTTCAGTCACACACAAATACTTTTTGTAACCAAATCACATGTTCAAAGTGTTGTACATTTAAACATTGACCTAAAATGAACAGGTAAATTGAACACGAGGAAAGGAAGGTGTTTCCAGAAGGGAAAACTGGGATAGCACAGCCCTTGGTTGGTTTTTTGAGTATGGTTTTTTTTTTTTCTCTCTTCGTAAGCGACCTCAAACACGCCCACAATTCAAACATACCCTTCCCTGGGGCTGTGGCAGGCTTGGGACGAGGTTTTCTTCTGGGCACTCCTCCTGTTCCATGGAGAATTGGTCCCTGGTGACTTGGCACTGACCAACGAACGGATCCAGCCCTTGGGAACAAGGAGCAAACTGAAGCAGCACGCGAGCAAATCCATCCTTCCTGTCACTCCTTCTGTGTCCAACGGCCCCAGGCGACCCAACAGCTCATCCTGGGACACAAATCCTGCAGACATCACCAGCTCCTTTCCCAGTGAGGGGCTGTGCACTTCCACAGCCCTCTGGACGTTGTTTGGGTCCGTGGTTCTCAGCCCCACACAGCACAGGGCGCTGCTGCCTTCGTGTCGTGAACCTTTACAAGATGTTGCTAATGTTTTGTCTTAGCAGGGGAAAAAAAAAATAAAACACAGACAGAAAAAGGCTGGGTTGGGTTTAAAGCAGCTCTCTGGACATGATGCAGCAGGGAATTCTTTTTGCTGTGATTAAAATTTCCAACGTTTGAGCGTAATCATAAATTAAGAGTTAAAACACAGAGGCGCTAATAATAAAACATTAAATAGGCAATGAGAGTGGAGAAAAGCTGCATGGCTCATTCTGAGGGAAACCCCAATATTTCATATTTCATATTTCATATAATCCTAAATGCCTCTGGGTTTCCTTGCTAGGCAAAGAGTGAGGGACACACCAAACACAGAGCGAAGCT